ACTTACCTTGGGAATGGCTCGTTTGTGGAATTCTTGTCCCACCTTGCCGACATCTGGCATCTGTACATCACGAACTCAAGGCGAGTGATGATTGAATCCGCCATCTACCAATGTCCACCCGACGTCGCTCTGATTGGCTAACGCATCAGCCAGTAGAAATCGCGCACGCATGGTTGGTGCGTAGATATGTGCATGCGTGCGTGCACACAAGCATTGTAGTCACAGCGTTTAATTAGGCGGGTGGCGTAAATTTTAGGCCTAAGAGCATGAGTTGGCGCCGCACCTGGTGAGCAAATTCACTCGCATGCCCATTCAATCACCCAGATGACTAAATATCTTTGACAAGAATGAACAATTTTGTCTCTTTATGACTCACATGTACAAGTGGAGCCATTTCGTCAGCATTAAAATAGCCTAGCCTGTGCATTCACACGGGACTAATGGGGGGGCAAGTTGGCACAGGTAGCAGTTGGCAGTATTCATGATGCTATATTTCACTTATGCACTGCGTTTTTATTAGCTCATCTCTTGTAGGAGAGGTGTGTGACTTCTAGCCGGAGATGTTCTATGGATTTTGGTGGTACTTTTTAAAAGCATTCATTTTTCAGGTATTCCTTAGAATTCACTTGTTTTTCCTTATGGGAAACAAACAAATAACCGTAACTGGAGGTATTGTCCCCTCCTTCAAACATCGCCTTTATGCTAATGCTCCCACACAAAGCCGTGACGCTAGAGGTGGGAGAGTGATAAAGGGCAGTGTGGAGGACAACACCCAAAAGAATGAAAGGTACAATGTAGTGAACTGGTATTTGTGTAAATTGTGGGCTCTTGAGTCAGCACGTTTCGGCTACTACGTCATTACCGTAATGTGTGCCAACAGTTTCTTAACCAAATATGTCCCCACTCTGATGTGACTTTAGAAACAACTTGACTTGAGCATTACATCAGCTTATTTTCTTAAGCAAGATGCTCTCAGAGGAGGGTAGAGAGTGTCTTTAAAACAAACAAATGAAGTCAAGTGAATTGCCAAGCTCAAAGAAGGGCCTCTGTGTTTAGGTATAAGTCTGCTTCCTATGCACCACGTTTTCGCTTCCCCTCTTAGATGTGGTTTCTATCTCTCCTGATTTTGAGGTCTCCCATCTCCCATCACCAAGAGTAATTTGGCCGAAATAACTGGGTGTCACTTTAACAGCTTGGACTAAACTTTTGTTGTTTACGAGAAGATATGTGCACCAGGCCCAATATTTATGCCTCTCCACCTCCTCACCCGCCCCCATCCAAACCCGCATCCACTGCCTATCATTGATGACAAAAACTCCTTTGATGGGACCGATTACATGCATGTGTTTGCAAACTAAACACCTAAAAAGTAAATATCCTCTTCAGGCCTGCAGATGAAACAGGAAATCCTATCATCGTATAAAGGGTTATTCATTTCTAGAGTCAGGATGTTTTATAATCTTACAAGCTTAATTTACCGACTAATTTGGGTATATAACTTGAGTTTTACCTTTTAAACGAGAAAAAATAGAATAAGAAGGAGTTAGGAGTCAAGGCAAAGCTGTATCTTAGTGTATTCGATAAAGAGAGAGCTTAAGATTAAATACCATTTGACGAATAGCAGAAACACAATAAGCGGTAGCGGTATTAATTGGTCCATCCATCGGACTTCTCAGCCCATAAAATAGGAAGATGGGATGAGGCCTACCTTGTTAGTCAACCACGATTTCACTTTTAAGTATAAAATACAGTTCCTGTGCATTATGGGACAACTTGAGCGTCCAACCATCAGGAGTCATCCCCAGGTTGAAGGAAGTAAACTCTTCGTGAGTATATCCAATCATTCACTCTAAAGTTGTAGTTCCTAAGGAATAGGTTTATTTTTTTTTTATCTTTTCTCTTTATAAAGTCTTAATCAGCCAGCTTAGTACTGCCTCACAGTTTTAAATAAGAATCCAAATGCCTAAAATTACAGTATGTCAAAGGGATTTTA